TCTCTTTCATCACTTGTTGTTGTTGTTTTTGTAACAGCATCAGCAATGACAACATTATGTGTTTCATCACTTGTTGTTGTTTTATCAATTGTTGTTACATTTTTCAAATTTCCGTTAATTTTCGCATTGGCTGCTGAGGAGTTTTTGTCGTTTGTGGACATTTTTTTTTAGAAAAATATGAATGAGCAGCGGCGGGAAGGCCCTAGGGTCCGTGTGTACTTTTAATAATAAAACTTCTATTCCTGGTTAACGATTTAGTGGCATGTCTATGTCCATAATGCACATGAAATAGGAAGTACCAGCTGAATTGTAGACATAGCAAGCATTTGAATTCAAATTCTTCAATTTTTACGTTTTAAAGTTTTCAGTTTTTCTCTTTGTATTACGATGCCATCTTTTAAAGAAAATGTATATTGTTTAATATCAAATCATCAAAATAATAGCAATATTTTAAATTACTTGCCTGTATTAAGCGGCTAACAAAATTATCTCAGCAATTGCAAACATTGTCATTCAACGACACTATTCACTAAAATGAACTATCAGAACTTTCTGTTTCTTTCTGTAGCAATTGGTCAAGCAATAAGTGGGTTCGTTTATATTTTCAGTAAAAATGTATATTATTTAAAATAAAATCATCGAAGTAGTAGCAATATTTTAAATTACTTACCTGTATTAAGCGGCTAACAAAATTATCTCAGCAATTGTAAACATTGCCTGGTATTATGTCGTTCAGCGACACTATTCACTAAAATGAACAATAAGAACTTTCTATAGCAATTGGTCAAGCAGTAAGTGTGTTCGTTTACTTTTTCAGTGTCCTGAGTAAATGTCAAAAGTAAAGAGAGTAAATTCGAATTTTTCGCTTTAAAGAGACACAATTGCAAAAAGGTAAATTAAGATTTATTAATGCGGTCGCACAGCAAGCGAAAGTCAAGTATTTTTTCTCATGTCTAATGACAAAAATGTTTCATAAAGGAAGCCAATTCACAATAATTGATATTGACATCAATCTTGAAAAACAGCTGATAACCAGCTGGTCTTCCTGGATGACCTCATAAATAGGGCTTGACGTAAACGAACATCCAATAACGAGACAGCTGATTACAAGTTTTTGCAAATTAAAAAATTCGCCTCCCGGTAGACGACACTAATAGGCCATGCTTGCAATTTCTGTAAGTATCTCTGCTGAGTTCTTAGAAAATACAGGTAAGGAGAATGGAAAAGGGGTATGAAACAAGGACATGGTTCATTAACATGCCTATAAAAAAGCCTTGTGGAATAAATAACTCCAAGCGCCCACGCCACAAATTACTACACGAAGACAATTTGGTTCCAACTTCGACAATAAAAACGTCACAGCCTCTTCTTAATTGCAGAAGTGAGGCAAAGGCAATAATTTATTTAAAATTATTCCAGTTAAGATATGCCATGGCGGAAAAAAGACTTTTCGCTATCGAAAATAAAATGTCACAAGATTCCAATGTTGGTGAAAAGTACAAATCGGAGATAAATAGGAACACAGAAAATGGGATATGCTCGTGTCTTATCTACAACAGAAGTGGACAGCAACAAGTACCCTGTATGGTCGCCAATCTATGCTTACTCTTCAATGGTATGGGGACAATGTTGTCTCAGAGAAGTCTTACAAGGTGAACTGTGAAATCGAAGGTCTGTGTGAACCGAAAAGCCGCTATGCCTTGAATAATCTTTACACTGTAAAGAATTTTAATTTGTCCGCATATTCCTTTAGGAAAGAAGTAATTCTGTATTTGAAAAAATTACCTTTGGACATTTATAATTAAGCCACACCACAAATCCTACTTGGTTTGGACAATGTTCGCCACTCCAGTCCCACCGCCATTAAGGAAGCCGGAGAATTTTCCCCAGTAGCCGTGAAAACGAATATCATATGGTCCAACAAACAATTTTTCCATGTTCAAATACTCGAGATGATAACTAATTTTCATGGCTGAGGCAGTTGATCTAGCAAATGAGTGTGATGAGCCGGCAGATCATAGGGTAAGAAGGATGATAGGACCTTAGTCACATTTAACGACGAAATAGTGACTGCCGCACTTGTTGAGGACATCGAGAACCAGTCGTACGTGGAGTTAGAAATAAGAAATCCAAACCCCGTAGAGCAAAGCAGGGCATTCCTCAGGGTGGAGGGAAATCTCCGAAACTGTTTAACCGCTATCTTTCTTTCTTTGTGTCAGACCAAACCTCCAGGTTTCTCATCAAAAACATTACTACCTTAGTAATTCTAGCAATCGAACAAATCTGAAAAGAAGAAAAGCTTTGAAAGTTATTTTTCTTAAACATCTGCTGAGAGATTGAGGCATGAATCTTCACGTCTTTTGCAAGAGGAGATGTCGTTCCATAGCGTAGCTCCTTTTTGAAAATATCATCAAACCTCAAGCCATCTCCCGAAGATTTTTGTTCATTTAGTAATTATAGGTCCTCTGGGTGTCAGCAGCTTACCTTAGCACTCGAAGGAGGACCGTGCTGAGATTTCGTGACATAGGAGCAGAAATTTCCTTTCCATTTTCTTCTTGAAAATGCCGCCTCCAAACCTCCTGACTTCCCTTGAAGTCCTTTAGTAAATTCTGACCGTCGGTAGCATACCAATTGGAATTGAAGCACTTCATAACATCCGCAGAGCAGAGATATCCTCCCCATTCGCTGCTAAATCTCTAGGCATTCCATGAATTCATACACTTCCTTTTTCCTCAAGTTTTGTTGTTAAAGAAAACGCTTTTCGATTTTTTTCAAATATAATTTTTGTGAATGTTTTTTTATTATTGGTTGGTTGTTGTGTTTTTTTTTGTATTTTTTTCATAATTATTTTTTTATAGATACGTTTTTGTTGTTGTTTTCAGTCATACAATTTAGCTAAAAATAATTATCAAAACTTAACTAACAAAGATTGATGGAAATAAAATTTTGATTTGTGTTTTTTCGATTTTAAGAAAAAATATTTTCTAATAAAAACTAACAAAAAATCACTATATATACAAAAATTAAAAAAAGGTAAAATAAAAAATAATTAAAATACTATATATACAAAATTAAAAAAAATTAAATTAAAATCTAAGTAAAATTTAAAATAAAGGAAACTAAAAATAAAATTATAATTAAAAGAAATTAAGTAAATTAAAAGAAAGCCTATTGCATTTGCCCCCAGCATTGAAAATTCCAATGTGAAATTGAAATCTTTTTTGTTTTTTTATATATAAATTATAATTATTTTGTTTAATATTTTGTATTTGTTTTTTGTACATTTATTGGTGCATTAAAAAGTGCTTAATTATTTTTTTAATGATTTTGTTTTTTTAATGGTTATATTTTTTAAGAGTCTCAGTCTTATGTATAATTAAAAAATAATTGAATTTAAAAAAATTATTATAATAATTAAAAAAAGAAATTAAATTATTGAACACAGTTGAATTTTTTTTAGAAAAATAAAATTTAAAAATAATAATTTTAATTAAGCTAATTTGTACATAATGTTATTGTTGTTTTTTAATTATAATATTGTATTTTTTTAGATATTGCTATTTTTTCATGAGGTAGTTGTTTTTCCGAGTTTTTTAAAACAAAAACTTATTTTTTTTCTTTAATAATAAAACAATTTTTAAAATCACTGGCTTATATAGATTTTTCTCGCTGTTTTTTTTTTAATAACAAACAGAAAACTATAAGAAATAATAAAAAAATTGAATTGTCTTGATTATTTAGGGTTAGTTAAGAAAAATTATTTATTGTACACCCTGTGTGTTATGCATTGCCAAGCCAACGAAATATCACAGCAGTGTTGCCAAACAGAAAAGATATATTTGTTGTTTTGGCTATTGGCAATGCATAACACACAGTGTCTACAATAAATTAATTCCGCTACACCCTGTTTAGGAGCTAAATAAGTAATTGTTTATAGTTTTTGTTTTGTTTTTTAATTCTATAGAATATTTTGAGCCTCTTTTTGTGTATTGTTTCTTAATTAATTCTTAGCTTATGTTGAGCCCTTGTTTTTCAGTCTTTCATTGCCTAGATTTTTTTTAATTTTATTTGAGCAAGGGCCTTAGCTTTGTGAGGTGAGAGTGGTTGGTTATGGCATGTATCTCTTAAATGTTTCCCATTTATTTTTTTCTTCTTTTTCTTACTAAAAACCTAACCTATATCTTAAAAAAATACGCAACCCCTTAATTTAGGATTTTCTTTAAAATGTTCTAATCATTTTTTTTTTTGTTTTAGGCACACGGTGATTATTTTTTTAATAATAACAATCATTTGTTTTTGTCTAATAATTTTTGCAGGGATTTTTCTTTTGCTATTCTTATGATTTAAAAAAAGTGCAGTATTTTTTGAAATTGTGCATTGAGAAGGTCTATGAACAAAGTATTAATTTCCCACCCCATTATTTTCTAATATACAGGCCTATAATAGGTGTGTTTTTTCAAAGATAGGAATTATACAATTTGTTGATTATTCGAAGTAAAGCTAATATACCGCGCGTTTGGCGTCTTTTTTCCCTCCAAAGAAAGAAAAAAACGTTCCAAAAAATTATTGAAAAAAAAAATATTGAAGAACAACAAAAACTACGTTTAACGTCCCTGAAATTATAGCAAAAATAAAAAAAACTCCTATTGCACAGAGGTTTTGAAAATAATTTACAAAAAAAATGTCCTATAAAAGGGTCCTAGGAATTCTCACAAATTTATGTTCCTCCAAAAAAATTCCCCCCTTAAATTAATAATAATAAATAAATCACATTGGCAACCCTATACCCAAACGCCATTCGCACGGCTTCGGTTCGAATTGCCAACCCCACTTAAAAAACCTATATTCACCTCTTTGCCAGTAGCTATTTTCACCACACGCTCCACACCCCTCAACTGGAAGTTATGCAGAGTTACCGTGTTGTTAGGTAACTAACGCGAAGAGAATAATGCATCGTAACAGGTATCGGCCGCATATTGCCAAGCCATTGTCAGCATCAATCAGTCGGCACGAACATCATCGATTATTACCTCACGCTTGAGATTCGATTCGTGAATGAAGCTGTCACTTTCCGTTGGGGTGTTGGGAATTTTTGTGGACATAATAACGGATTTATCTTCGGCGTTATTTGTGGTGGTTGGCGAGAAGGGTGATTCGGATCTTGGACGTCCCGACTCAATGGGAGTGTGAGCATCTTTACGGGCCAAGGAGAGATCTTCAACGTGATCATCTTCTTCATTGCCACGTGGCTCATCTTCTGAATTGCGGCGGCGACGACGACGTTCTTGAGCCTCTTCCTCCTCTTCACGTTCCATTTCACGCTCACGTTCGCGTTCCATTTCACGTTCCCGCTCCCTTTCCATTTCGTGACGTTCCAAGAATTCCTGTTCCACAGCGTTGCGCATGTTGGCGCCATATTTCATGCCAAAATTACTGGGACTTGGTGAACGCACAGCATTACCATTTGGTCCAGGACTGGCAGACATACGATTGGCGGCCGCATGAGCAGCTGCCGCCAAAGCCATGGCATGTAAAGCTTCCCGCCCAGCAATATCACCACCACGATTTTCCAAAGCCTGTTGCAAGAAGGCAGGATCAAGGAGGGCAGCAGCAGGATGAGGTATGGCTGAGGCCATATGATGATGTTCCGAATTACGATGATGTTCTTTCATTTCTCGTTCCTCACGGGCAGCGGCTTCATGCATGGCAGCTGCTGCCGCAGCCTGGCCATAACCATGGGCAAATGGGAAGGCAGCAGTGGACTCAACATTACTGGGGCTACGTTTCATTGTGCGATTCATGGGGCGGCCAGTGGTAATGCCCAACTTCTTAACCTTATCGTAGAGGGTACGTGATGGAACACCGAATTTGCGGGAAGCTTGCAGGGCACTCATGCCATCACGTACACACTGAATGGCGGACATAATGTCATTGCGGGTGTATTGCTTGTAACGCTTCCATTCGGGTTTCTGATTGCCGCCATTACCGCCGAAGTTGTTGGCATAGTTGCCCTTCTGATCGAAGCTTTCGTCTTCGAAGGAGCGATCGGTGTAGGGGGAATGGGGTTCATCGGGATATTTGAGCTGCAAAAAAAGAAGAGATAAATTAATATCAGGTTTTTCTTTCAGGAAAAATAATTTTTCAGGAGAGAAGAGAGTCTATTTTTGAGAGAGAGTGATTTTTCCAAACTTACCTTATCATTACTATAATCCGAACCATTGAAGCTATTATTCTTTTCCATGCTATTGGGAGTGGAGCTCATTTTCTCACCCTTACCATTGGTTGGCATCATCAGCGGCATGGGTTGTGAGGAATCAGCAGGGTTAGCTTGGGCCAAGACATTGCGCAAAATGGGTGTATCACGATTCATCAACATGGAGGAGATTGAGGATAGCTTCTTGCGTTTCAAGGGGTTCATGTCGGGTGCCGATTCATAAACTGAACTTAACATGGCAGCGGCAGCAGCAGCAGATGGTGACATACCCGACCATTGGCCAGAACGTTCAGCAGCGGCAGCGGAGGAGGCATTGGGAGTTTGTTGGCTTGATTGAGCAGGGGAATTATTCGATTGACTGGCATTACCAGCAGGAGATTTACTATACAAACTGGCATAGGGAGATTTATAGCTGTTATAGGGTGGGGATGATGAGGACGAGGGCGCAGCCGAGGGTGAAATATTCGATGAGGTAGAGATCACGGACGAGGAATTATGATGATAATTTTCATTGTCTTGATGTTTGTTGGAACTGGTTTGTGGAGTACCCGCTGCCGAGGAGGTGGTCACCGAGGAGTAAGGATTGCTGGGGGCCGTCGAATTGGCATAAGGATTATTGGCAGCACGCTCAGCATGCTCTTCACTTAGTTTGTGGAATTTCTCTTTCAAATCTGCCATATCGAACAGGCCCTTAACTTCCAATTCCTCAGCGATACGCATAATTTTGGGTATTTGACTTTGGGTGACATTCACCTCTCCCGTGTACATATATTCCAATAGGGCACGCATTTCAAATGCTTTAACGCCTGGGAAAATTATGCTACAATGATCCATGGGCATATCTTGGAGAATCGATTGGAAATATGGCGAATTGGCAGCCAAGACCACACGATGGGCTTTGAATTGAACCTGATCGTCAACGACAATTGTACAATCGACATAACTCTCTACCTTAATGAGGGCATCGAGAATTTCAATTAAATTCGATTTGTGATTATTCCAACGCAGACAATAGGTTTGACCCTCGGGATGATGACCCGATGATGATGTGGCGGGATTAGATGTTGCTGTGGGACCACCCATTTTTCTTTCGTGTAGTGGTGGTGATGCTGGTCTCAGTTCGTTGCTGCTGGGAAAATCCTCTGGTGGGAAATTGCCAAAAGCTTGATGGGCAAATTGTTTGCGGATTTTGAGAGCCAGTTTTGTAGATTTGGGGGGAACGGGGGGGAGAATTAAATCAAGGAGAGCTGAAAGGAGAAGAGAAAAAATGAAATTAATACAAAATTTTAAATAAAGAAGAAAAAAACATTTGCATATTTTTTATCCCATAAAAAATGTGTCTCTATATCTGGTTTTTCAAAACATCCCCCAAACCAGGCAAGCGAATATTTTTTGCCTTATTTTGTTTTGTTCCCAGCTTTCGCTTCCTTGTATATTTTTTGGGCAAAAAATAAGCACGTTTTTTATGTGTGTTTTCCTCGTTAAAAAACAGCAAGTGGGGGTAGATTTCTTTAGAATTCCGCACAAGGCTTGCTGTTTAGTTTTGGGGGTGAGTTTAGTTTTAAAGCAGGTTATACCCAAATTTGCCTACTTAAACATGACCGTATATTTTAAATGGAGTAAATTTAGCAAGTATGTATGTGTGTGTTTATTTTTTTAATGATTTTCAAGTGCTGACAAGGCCATATGGGCAAGGAAAATTCAGAAATTCCGAATTGCATTTGGTTTTAATATGTTGATGGATGGCCACCCTATATTGCAGAGAAAAAGACAAATGCAAGAGAGCGAGAGCTGCATGCATGCACATTTGCATTGTTATTGTTGGTTTTTGCGTGCTCTTTTCAAGTACTCTTGAGTTGCCACCATATGTTAACCAGCCGTTATGTGTCCCGAGGAGAAGAATGTCGGCAAATTTGACATGTGAGTTATCAGAAAAAAATAACTGAATTTTTAACACATGCCATGCTCAGCAGGGGCGTAACCCAGTGGCAATTGTGCATTTTTGACTATTTTTAGAAAAAAAACTGAACATCAAAAATATGGCGCCCAAATGGGCAAAAAAAAAAAAAATTAAATAAAATTAAAAATAGCATATGTCAAGGAGAGTGAAAAATGTGTTTCAAGTTAATGAAAATTAAAAAAAAAAATGTTTGGCAATTTTTTTCAATTGGAAGAAAATGTTTGAGGTTATGAGTGGCGCCCAACAGTTACAAAAATTTTCTTATTTTTCAACAGAAAAAATGGAAAAATTACTTCCAAGAATAGAAATTGAATATTTCAGAATGAATTTTGGCAATTTTTTTTTAAATGAAATTAGAAAAAATAGCTGAGGTTATGAGTGGCGCCCAACAGTTACAAACATTTTAATTTTCATAATTTTCAACATAAAAAAGGGGAAAGGTGGCTTCCACGAATAAAAAAATGAATATTTGAGAAAGATTGGCATTTATTTTTTAATAAAAAAATGGCGCCCAACATTTTTTTTTAAATTTTTTTTTTGAAAATTATGAAATTTTTATTTTTTTTAAAATTGAAACAAATTGAGGGCAATTTAATTTTATTACATAGAAATATTATTTATATTGGATTTTTTTTTAATTTTTTAAAAATTAAAAACAACATGTTTTTAAATTTGTTTTTTCAAAATTTTGAAGATTTATTTATAAAATTGCTCAAAATGGCCACAGCTGAATGCCGCTATATTTAATTTTATTAAAGAAATACAATTTTCAAAGTGGCGCCCAACATTTTTCGGTCTTTTTTTTTGAAAATTATTTTTTTTTGTTTTTCACAGGCCATTAACCTTCCCAATTCGAATTCTCAATTTCAATTTTTGGTTTTCTGTTGGAAGAAAAATCTAAATTTGATATTTTTATTAGAATTCGATTTCAATTTTTTGCATTTCCAAATATTTGCCCACATTCGTTCTTTTGCAAAATATCAAGTTACAAACTAAAAGCAAATTTTGAAAGGAGAATATGTGGGCAAAAATTCAAAAGAAAGTAAGTGATAGGGCCACGAAAAATTTCAAAAAGGAAATAAGGAGAATAAAAGAAAATTCACTTTCAATAAAATTTCAAAACCTTGAAGACAAAAGGCAGAATACCCTAAAATCCCTGTGACAGCATTATTAATGGCCTGACAATTGTATGGGATAATCGAAGGAACCTGCTGCCTTGCCTGTTCTACACAACCTTGCAACGCAATCGATACGAACAAAAAAATCGATCTATTGTGCAATTTTTCGAAATAAAAGAAATCTCTTCATGGGGGTTAACATTTTCCTCTTGACAATAGATAAGAAATGAGATTTTTTTCTTCTTCTTTACACTGACGCCAGCCAACAATAGACCGGGGTGGGCACCCTGTGGTGCACAGTCAGAAAATGCATTATTTGATAAGGACAGGTTGCAATTGGAATTGGTTGCAGTGGTGGGAACCTTTTCCGAGCAGGTAGAAAGAAAACGATCGAAGTGATGTTGCAACAATTGTGTAGGGAATTGAAAAATGACACAATTTTGAAGTCAATAATTTTTTTTTATCTTTTCAATTTTTTTGTCCACATAAGAGGATTAGTTGCAGAGAAAAGAAAATTTTTTGACAAAAGGAAAACAAAATTGGTAGCCCAAAAAGTCAGAAATTGTTAACACCTTAAAAACTGGGAATAATTATTAATCGCATTTAAAGGGCAAGGGAAAATAAAAATAACAATTTGGCAACCCTAGTCAAAGGCCAGCAAATGAGAGCAAGAGCTTTGGGCGATCATTTCGTACTCTCTTTGCTTGTGTTATTATAATATGAAAGCTTTTTGCTTTGCATAGAGCTTTATTGCATTTTTATCACCAAAGTTTTGTTTTTTTTTTTTTTTTTTTTTTTGGAATGCAAAAGGGCATGCTGAATCTTGTTGTTGTTTTTGTAATGGGGAGTAACCAATTGTATTGAAGGTTACATTGTGCGAGAGAGGAGGCGAATACGTGTCAAATTTGTAATGAAGTGGATTTTTTTTTGTGGTAACTTGAAACCGGTTGGTTGTGTGGCGAAATTTTTACAAAGCTTTAGTTTTTATTACTGTTGTTGTTGTTTTTGTAAATTTTTTATTGTTGTAAAATTACAATGTAAATGCAAAGCATATTTTCAAGGTTTGATGGCTGGCAATCGAAAAAGGGCCAATCAAGGTAGCAATTTGAAATGAAGTAGTGGTTTTTTGGTATTGAAATTGAATTTGTAATGACAAGCAAACACACATACAGGGAATATTGAAATAAAAAACGTGAAGGTTAACCATCAAGTGGTTTAAAAAACGAGGTTTTAAGCAAAAAATAAAAATCCAAAATAAAAATTATTTCTTCAAAGGGAGGGTAATAATTGTTTAGCTCTATATAATATAGAGTAGCCTCGGGAATCTAAATATGGCAAAATTGGTTTTGAAAATTGCCGATAACATAAATTTCCCTTGAGGGGAAATTTTTATTTTTGCTTGAATTTGAAAATTTCTTTAATATTTGGGTTCAGTTTAGTGCAAAATATGCAATTTCATTGAAAACAAAAATTTCCCAAAAGGGAAATTTTCTTTTTTCACTAAAAATGAATTATTTTGATTTAGAATCATCAGAAATGCAAAAATTAATTGAAAATAAGGAAAAAACAAAAATTTCCCTTTAAGGGAAATTTTCAAATTTCAAGCGAAAATATAAATTTTTATGATTTTGGTATTTAAATATTTTTTAGAGAATTTTGTGGAAATAAAAAAAAATATATTTTTGTATTTTCTTAAGAAAAAAAATTATTTTTGTATATTTTCTATGAAAATAAATTTTTTTTCTATGAAATAAATATCTTTTTCAAAGAAAATAAATAATTTTCCATAAAAATATTAAAAATATATATTTTTTTTATTTTTTTTCGCAATTTTATTTTTTTAAACTTACCTTAATTAATTTTTTGTAATATTTCCCAAAACTTGTTTTTTTGCGTAATTTATTGTTGTTTTTTAATTATTTCGTAATTTAATTTTTTGTTGTTGTTATATTTTTTATTTTTGTGATGTTCAAAAAATTTTGTACACACACTCAAGTTTGAAGCCAAAAAAATAATGCCAAACCAAAAATTGTATAAAATCAACCAAAAAATACTGAGTGTGGAATGTTCAAGGTTTTTGTCGTTAAATTTTTGTTTTTGTCGATTTTATATTTTTCAGTAAAAATTGCACTTTTTTTATAGAAAAACACTTGTTTTGTTTTTTTACAAATTTGTGGTTTGTAGGTGTTTTTGTGGTAATAATCCTCTTTCTGGTTTCGGGGTAATCCAATTAAGTTCTGTATAGAATTTTTTTTATCACTTGATGTTCTTTTTTATTTTTAAAGAATTTTTTTCTTTAAGTGTATTTTTTCTTTGATAGTAATATTATTTCTTTCAGTGTTTTTTAAAATTCACTAAGATTTGATTTTTTTATTTTATAAGATTCGAATTTGTGAAAAACTGCGACACCGTTGCGTTGTTGCAGATTCGAGAGCTCGAAGTGGAATAAATGTAGTCTGCCAATGCATGCATAAAGTCATTCAGACACGCAGCCAGTTATCACCATTTGAAAAACGCAGCAAAATACCCTCTCTGAGACCAAATACAAGAAAAACCAACAACAACAACGGCAAGAATAGAAAAAAACGCACACACAATCTAATAATGTCTGTCCACTCACATTTAACTATGGACAGCTAGGGGAAAATCTATATAAGAACAACAACAAATATCACACACTCGTTGTGCTCTCCCTCTCTCAGTGTGTGTGTGCGTGTGTACGGTTGTAATAAGAAAATCTACATTGGAAAACAAGGGGAAGTTATAAAACTGCACATTGAACGCATGCCCTTTACAGCAATAACAATAAGAACAACAACAACGCACAAGCAAGCAAACATACACAGCAAGGCAAACAACCAGCCAAGCACAACACAGCATAGCACAGCACAACGGCACTCTGTTGTGTTCTCTTGTTATGCACTCTCTCACTCACCCTATCTCTCTCTCCCCTTACAATGGGTTTACAAAACTGTGATACTTTATAACAGTTTGTTTTTGGCTTGAATGAACAGGGGAATATGCAAGCCAGTGTTTGTTGAGAGTTGGTATGTGTGGCAGATAGAGAGAGAGAGTGACAGAGTATGGCTATGCTTTCTCTGTTGCTCGTTAAGCCATACGATCATGCACTTTCTCCAATACTCGTGTAATGCAGTTTTGTTCGGTTTTT